CCCATTGATTGTTTTCGGAACAGTATCAATTATTACTACATGAGAGATTTGGATGCTCACAACAATCTCAATTTTGACTGGTTTTACTTTTGAATGATTGACAATGTTTCTCGTAATAAACATTTCATTTGGTATTTTTAATGGTCTGTCGAGTCGGTTAATTGGTTTCCAGTCATCAGTGAACGGTATTCAATATTTATTTGTCACGATTGTGACGGCACCTAAAATGAGTGTGGAAAGTTCGGCGATATCGGAAACGTGGAATTGCGCGTCAAACCGAGCAAATCCATTACATTATTTTGACTTCCATCCTATTTATGTCGGGACTCATTAAATCCGATAAGCGTGGTCTTTGAAACAAGCGAAACTGTAGTTGTTCGGTAACAGGATTAATAGAGGGGTTGATTGACACAAGACGTCAGTTGATTACCGGCCGGACGGGACGAGTGGAGGAGTAAAAATGCTTTTCTTGTTATTATGAGCCGTATTAGTGAGTTGAGCGGCAGCCGCGGCGTGCAGCCGGGAAACTGGGAAAGTTGCTTCCGGAAATCAACTTAATCTTCTTCGCGATGCCCCACCGGTGGCCGCCGGAAGGGAGGCAGGGGGAGTTGCGTCGGGCGGTGTGGCAGAGCAACCTTGCAGTGAGTGAAGAGCTCAAAGTGTACGGAGAATCAATTAGGACGTTGAAAGGGAGCCAGATAAATGGTAACATTTGCTCGATTCTTCATTTACAATTGTTAATATAGAAATCTGCAAACGTAGAACCAGATATTGGAGGTAGCCAAAGCGGAGAGTTGATTTAACAGTTGTGGGCTCCAGGCATGAAGCCAGCTGCGGTGACTCAGTGGATATACATTGCTTTTGCCGCGTCGTTGAACGGGAGGTCTGGGGTTCGATTGATTGATTGTTTTAGAGATTCTGGGCACGTCAACTAACATGGTCATTAGTACCGCAAGTGTAGTGCGTGTGTTGCTTGGGAGATAGTGATCTTTCCTTCGCTGTATGGAGAGATCCCGCACCGACCTACCGGTCTACCGGCATGTGTGCGTGTGTGTGTGTGTGTTAGTGTGTGTGTTAGTGTGTGTGTGTGTGCGTGTGTGTGTGTAAGGGGAGAGGATAGGATAAGGAAGAGATAGGTAAGATGGCGTGCAGTCCGGGCGTGGCCCGTTTGGTAGGGTACTGCTCCGGCATTCGCCTTGTGTTGATCGAAAAAAACACGGAAAACTACCTATCAGAGCAGCCGGCCGCTAGAATTGCCCTCTATGGTTCGAGTTCCGAAGATGGCGGCATATATTCGACTCGTGCTTCATAGTTCGGTAAAATGTAAGCACTGTGTGAAGAATAATTCTAGAACCTCGCTGTTCTCATCGGCAGTTTTCCGTGTTTTCTCCTATTACTACCAACGGTCGAGTACCTTATAAATCGGTCTACGGACCGTGCGTGATGTTTCCTTCCTTATTATTTTCCCTTCGTCCTCCCTTACACACACACACATACATTCTGTACACTGCCCCAAATGCCGGGAGTCTAGTCGTGTTCTTAGATTGTCCCGGTTGGGTCAGTTCCCCACTGGGGAGACACCTGGAGAGGAAAAGAGCAAGTTGACGCATGGTCCGTACCGGGTCTCGCATTACTAGTGATGGCAAATTTTATCCAAACATCATATATCGATATTTCTATATATCACCAAATGTTTTCGATGTCGATAAAAACATCGACAAAAAATGGATGTGTAAGATATCGATGTGATAAAACAGATGGTTTTTCCCATTGTGTTTCGATTTTTAATTAGATTACTTAAATGAAATAACGATATATTTTATTGTTTGTTCATGTGTATGTGTTATGTTAATAGAAATGTTTATCGAATATAAAGAAGGAAATAAAAATATAGGATATCGTGTTTTGCTCTTATTCCATTTATTCACATTCTTTCATAAATCATCAAAGTAAAACGTACAGAATCAAATACATATAATACGTAAATATTAGTTTAAAATAGATCTCCTTAAAACCCTCTGTCACCTTGATTTCCTAATCAATATTATACTGATAATGTTCAAAATGCAATTTAACATTAGCATGTACAAAATACTCGAATGTTAATGATACACTTTTCTTTAATGTACCTACGGTCTATTACTTTTACATACTTCGGAGCACTATGCAATATCATCGTTAAAAGCTCTTCTTCACTCGCTCACTTACAGATACTTAACAAATTGTTATGCATGATTCCTCGAAGTGCTGCACATCTTTAAATCATTAGCATATCGATATGAAAATCTATACTTTATTTTATAGAGAAGAGTCTTTATTCTCATAAGTTATTATTAAAGTTATTGTCATAAGAAAAATGTTACTGTATTTATGCGAATCTAATTTTTTTACTAAATGTAGTACTAAAAATCGGGGTGCGCATTCGATACGATTGGCCATTAGATTCGAGTGCAAATCCGTTCTGTAGAACGCCAGTAACTTCATTTTTTTTGTTTATTCACAATGTTACAATCACAATGTATTGATTGAGTTTTCAACTTCGTTTCGTTTATAATTGGACTATTATTGAGGGTTTTTTGTTACAATATTGAGGGCAAACAGAGAAGATCGTCTTCATTAAAGCGTAAAGCAGTAAAAACTAAATCCGTTAGAATGCTAATTATGTATACGATAAATCAATTGCTGTGTTACATAAATTTAAATAAAATACCGTACCTACGGTACTACCGTAAATACGGTATTTGCCATGTACAGCATTTTCGCTGATCGCTGGTGGCCTTACGCCAGGTGAAGCGCAAGCGGCGCCACAGCGAGGACGCCGAAGCGAAAGCAGCAGCAGCAGCCGCCTCCGCCGCCGCCTTTCCCAGGTGGGGTGGCACGAGTGCCGGCGGCTGCGGGGGCGGAGGCTGGGACAGGGCCGGATGCGGATACGGAGGTAGAGGTGGAGACGGATGTGGATGTGGAGGCGGGGACGCAGGTGGGGGTGCAAGTGGAGATGGCGACGGGATAGAGGATGAGGCGGAGACGGTGGAGGTGGCACGAGTGGGAGTGGAATGAAACGGAGGGGGGAGGTGGNNGGGAGAGGAGAAAGCGGGGGTGGGAGGTGAGAGCGGACGCAGGGACGGTCCGCCGGCGCCGACGCGCGGCCCGATAACCGCGTTATAAGCAAAAAGAAAACAGAAACAAAAATACAACAACAACAAAAAAAACTGACGGGTGCCTCGCGCCTCGTAACTCGAAGCACACAATAATAAAGGGAACCAAGCAAATCCATTACATTATTTTTCCTTCCTCCTTATCTCTGTCTCGATTCATTAAAAGCAGAAGTTGGATCTCCCTGAGGGAGACGAAACCGAAGACGTCCCGTAATGCCATTAATAGGGCAACTGATTGACACAGGACGTCACTTGATTACCGAGTGGTCGAGATGAGTAAAAATGCTTTTCCTGTTAATACAGAGGTGGATTAGTAACTTGGGTGGTGGTGGCGCTGGAGGCGCAGATGGAGGGGTGGCGGCAGCGGGAAAGTTGCTTCGCGAAATGAACCTTTTTTTTTTTTGTTTCGTTTTTCGTGACCCCTCTGCTCCCGGAGCAAGCCGTGGGGTGATCCACTGGTAGTGGAGGACAGTGGGCTGTTGGCCATTGCCGAATGTAAACACCTTTTGACGAGTGATACACGTCGATTATCAAGGAATAGGTGACACCGCCTCCATGTAGGGATTTTCTCTTTGAGCTTTCAACTTTCAGCAGAAAAGTGACGTTGAAGTATAATATAGAAATATCGAAGTTAAAATGCCTTACTCTATGGAGTGGGTAAGCAGGGTATTAATGTAATTATTGTTATTCAGTTAACATAAAACAACGGAAGTACTCGACAATATCACTACCTTCTTGCATATGGTATTTTTCTATTTCACGATAAATTATTCTCAATACGTTGGTGAAATCATGTCGATCAATGAACGAGCGCTCTACCACAAAAATATTATAAATAAACTAGTAGTGCTTTATTAAAATTTGATAGTAAAATCCGAATCGCTAGCCTTAATGTGAAACGTCTTTCAATCGTCATAATAGACATTTGCATTTCTTTTATAGTTCGGAGTTGAGAAAAACAGACTTTGAGTTTTCATCTTTATAGCAGTACTCATAACACCTGAAAACTTGCCTGTGAAGTTGTAAATTTCCAATAAAGAGATATTTCTTCAGAAATACGCTCATCACCTTTAAATACACAAAACTCTGATGCATTGTCACGAACATAATATATCAACATTGTTGATTTCCTTGTTCAATTTTTGATCCTACATCCTTTGTACTAAAACAAATCCTTCTGTCAGTTTGCCGAGTTTGTTTCTCAGAATAAGTTTAGGGAAGTTCATTCACCATTTAGAATTCTATGAGTAATTCTATTATTTTTTAAATAGCGTAATTGTAATTGTAACATATGTAGACTACTATATGTTATAATTATAGTAGTATAGTTATGACTAGTATATGTTACAATTACAAATTCCATTATTTTATTAATTGGTGTGGCAGAGCCTTACAGCAGTACTGAAATCGATTACAAATAACAAATTCGTAGTCTCGAGTAAAACATGTATTTCGTTTGATGGTATTAACATACGAACTAAAATTGTTTGAAAATTTGTTAATCGAATGACATGATTCATGGCACGGTTTGAATTCCAGGAAAAGTATATTGCTATGTAGCACTGATCGTCAAAATGTCTATATTGGGATTTTGCACCCTTAACCTAAAACAACGTGCCCGCCATGAATAATTCCCGAAAACCTCCATAAAAATGCCTGTCCACATCAAAAGCCAAGAGAGAACCCTGATTGTAAACTGTAGAAAACCGATATTTGTTTAAATTGTGCCCCAGGGCGAAAGTGCTCCTCGTCGGTGATCCATTTCGAAGTTCGCTTTTATTGATCGAGGGAGGGCAGCGGGGCGGGGCTCGAGTTTCAGGCGAGTTCCTTTCTTCGAATTTACAGTGGACAGTGGCGGACCCGCGGCCGGCGCGGTGGCGGTGGTGGTGGCGAAAGAAGAGAACCGTGGGCGGGAGGCCGAGGACGGAGGGTAGGGCGAACTCACTGGTTAGGCGGTGGGCAAGAGGGGGCGATTAAAGAGATGATCAGTTTCTATAATTCAATAATACTAATAATAATAATACTAATAATAATAATACTAATACTACTACTACTACTACTACTACTACTTACTACTACTAACTACTACTACTACTACTACTACTACTACTACTACTACTACTGACTACTACTACTACTACTACTAAATAATAATAATAATAGTAATAAGTCGGCCCCGCGGCGCAGACTGTTGCGGCAGCCGTCGTTTGCTGCCGAAGAGACTGCAGGTTCGGTCCTGGCATGGTCGTATTTGTGATTTTCCCTTCACCCCTTATCATCCTATCAGCTTATAATTCACACGTCAAGGCGTAACAACCTTGTCGTAAAGAGGATATAATTGAAAAGACGATCCTGGAAGAGTTACACGCTTAATTGTGTAACGTGGTCAGAATGGCCTTTACACCAATAATAATAATAATATAATAATAATAATAATAATAATAATAATAATAATAATAATAATAATAATAATAATAATAATAAAATTTACTTAAAATTAGGCCAAAGATACTATCAAAGAAGTTCTACTAGATTTACGCGAGGATGCAGTTATTTATAGCTAGAATATTTAAAATACATTCCAGTAACTACGAAAGTATTAAGAACGAAAGAAGTAATCCTCGCCTGGGGGCTAGTATTAAAAATAAATTATTTAAAAGTCTTCAGGGACGGTAACATATGTAGTAAATTGCCAAGGATTTACTATCGGTCACCCAGCAGTGAAGTGAATAATCACTTGGGAGAAATGGATGAGTTACGGGCCTGTAGTGAGATGGAATGTGAAAAATGTTTTTTTTTATTTTTTTTTTAAATTTCAGTAGTGGCTCGGCAGTTCACATTTTGAGACGTAATTTTAATGTGGGGTGTCCAAATTAATTGTTTCGTTCATGCAGCTGATATTCATTGAATTCATCATACAGTAGAACCCCGATATTCTGAAGTAATGGGGGGGGTGTAGTTTGCACAGATTCGGAAATGTTCAAATTATACAAAAAAATGTATCGTACATATACAAATATCGGAATCTATAGGATTACCGGACACAGTGTATCGTAGCGTGCGATGTGAGAAAATGGCAACGTAGCGTAGCGACATGACGTGGCAATGATGCGAACAACGGAGTACAATACGTACACAACCGATCGCATGCGATAGTACGAGTAATTGCTACATTGCTTAGAAGAATTGAAGCACAGTTTGTGTCGCTGCTGTCAACAAGTATTATAGGTACAGTATACAGAATTCGGTTGACTTACTGTGTTCTTGCTTTTTCGTCCATAAATTAAATTAATTATATCAGTTAATTAAATTAATTTACTTTTTCTTCCATCCCAAAACTTGATCGTATTATTCAAAATTTCGGATTTGCGGTGTTCGTATTAGCTAGGTTCTTCTATATACATCGAATATACTCCGCCGTTAAATTGTTTCGTTAGTTGGACTGATATTCAACGTCTACGTTACGTTCATAACAATTAGTAATTTTCAATCATGTAGCTGACAACGTTTATGACCATGCTCTGACCTTATCAAAGGTGCACCAGGAAAGTGATCCGCCAAAATTTGTCATTTTTGCATTAGAACGTTTTTATCCATGCACTATAATTTATTTTGTGTCCAAAGATATTTACTGTATCATGGCATGAAAATAAGATAGTTTCATTCGGCTTCCAAGTAATTTTGCAGAAGAGCTTTTTGAAAGTTTGGTGAACGTCTAGTTGTGTTATGCGAAATGCAATATCATTTTATTGCGACGTTTTTTTAAAATTTGTCCCTCCCAGGGGCCCTGGCGAGGCGGTCGTTTATTATATTTCTGGATACTTACGCCGCATTCTTCGGCTTTTGCGGCTAAGAAGGGGGCAGTGTTTAAATAGCAATTTTTTTATTTATCCAACTAATTCTAGGGAAGTAGCCGGCGCTTTGACCTGTAATTCAAGGTTCGCATGCATGCTTTTCTATTCTAGTGAAGTTCTATTTTAGTTTTCTTTCTACAATTTTTTTTTTCATTTATTCACGCATTCATACTTATGACCATTTACAGTTATTTAAATATCTGCAACCCGCACTCTTCACATTATTTACACTATACCCGATCGCCGACTTTGCTCAAAGCATCCGTGGTGGCTAGGCACTATTTGCGCTGGTGACAGTAACCAGGGGTATTTGTGATGAGAGGAGTGGTGGGTTTAAGTTTCCCGGGTCCGCAGGAACCGGGCTTCTTTGGGGTGTACTTTTACTTGACGTGAACTCCGGGTAAAACGGGGTGCGTTCCCGAGCCTGAAGGTTTAGAACTAATCATGCAGCTGGAAAGTTCTAGTTGAATTAGCGCCCTATGAAGATGCTTGGGAGGTGACGTCGGGCATGTGCTCCATCCAGATGCTAGTCCGAGAGTTACCTTCGCCCGGAAGAGCGTTGAGAACGTGCGCAGAGCACGCTGTTCTACAAAAGCCTCAAAGCCTAGGACCACAGTGCATGATAGATCAGTCGGAACAAACAGAATGTGAGCGTGCTTTCCGAGGCTCCGCCAGGCGACCGGACGGCAACGAAACTTCCACTTTATTCACTTCCGTTCTTTGCCCACTGCACCCCGTCATGCTCTGTGTCCGCTGCGCTCGTACATTCTCCCATCCTCCGGGTTCAGTCCCTTTCGCTTTCAACATCCGCCTCGCGTGTCATTCCAACCCCCTTCTCCGACCCGTTTTTACGGCTATCTCGGGCCTGTCATTAAATACCCGTATCCTTCTGTTTCTACTCCGTTTATACGCAGCTTGATCTCCCTCGCCGCTTCGAAACCTGTCTTACGCTACACCTCCTCTTTGTTCCCCGCCCCCTTTGCCCATTGCCCCGCTCTGCAACCTGCCTCGATCAGCATTCTACTCCATCCCCATTCCGTTCTGTTCCCCACAATTCTTTGCTCTTCGCCTGCTTCTCCCCGCTCTGCACTCCGCTTCGATCTGTCCGTCTCATCGCTCTGCACCCCGTCCCGCTTTGC